AAAAAAAATTTTTTTTCAACAAGCACAAAGTATCACGTTAACTCATTTGTAACATATGAAAAATATATGAATTGATCTACAAAGAGGCGCAAATTTCTATACCTAAATTTGGAAAGAACCCGGACTGTAATACATCATTAATAATCATGCTCATCAATTAGATTCAACATAGATAAATAAGTATAGCAGGCTTAAATTTGATTGGCTGATTGACAAGGTATAGGATAAATCGAAATTCATTATTAAAATTTCTGATAATCTGACTTTAACCCCTTTTTTGGCCACCAAAGTAATTCAAAAAATGATGAGGTAATTTAGAAGTTAGATGAGAAACATTCCAAGCATTCAAAATAAATATATTTTATATATTATTTCATTATTAAAAAAATTTTTTTTTGTCATAACAACAACTCAGGCATTAAAAAAAAATTAGTGAACCAACATGTTTAAAGGTACAGTCACGTCACAAAGTAATGCCCGATTTTCCTGTGTAATGACGATACAATGCATTTACACAGCCCGTTTCTTCCCCTTTTTTGTATAACTTTTCTCATCTTAAACATATCTATTGCCATATCAGCATGCAGTTCATGAGTTGACAGGAGGTTCTGTGGTTTATCAACAGGACAACGCACCGATCCATACTTCAAAAGCAACCAAGGAATAGCTAAGGACTAATAAAATTGCAACTATTAACTGGCTGGCGAATTTGCCAGACCTGAACCCGATAGAGAACATTTGGAAGTTGTTAAAGGATAATATCCAAAAGCATGAAGACTTTCCAAGAACTGTGAACGAACTTAAAATTGCATTGAGAGAGGAGTGGGAAAATTTGGATCGCTCTGTTTTCAAGGAGGTTGTTACCTCAATACCAAAAAGAATCGATGTGGTATTAAGAGCAAATGGTGGGCCGACAAAGTATTAGTTAGATATTAAATTTTTTTTTATGTATAAATTGCTAAAAAATAAAAAAAATCAATAAATATCTTTATTTTCGGTTTCAATTTTGAATCAGGCGTTACTTTGTGACATGAATGTACTTTACTATGCTCGCGAGGAATTTTCCACTATGATCATTTCTAAATTTAGGAAAAATATTACCAAATTTAGACTAGCTCTCGACTATCGTATCTAAATTTGGCAGTAAGAAAACTAAAATCACGTGAAGTCCTATTTTTTGAAAAATTTTAAACGAATTACAAAATTGCTATTTTGAAATTTGGACGAATGGTGCAGCAATAGGAGGTCTTTAGACCGAGCCAACCATAATATTTTATAAATTGTTTATGCATTTTTCTATTATTAGTAAATTAATTCCAAGTCATGTGTCCATTAATTTATCATTGGTCAAAATTATTAAAAAATGACAACAGTTGAAAAAATTGAAAACCAATTAAACATTACACTTGGAGAATAAAAAAAGACAAGGGAAGAGAAAGAAAGGAACTGGTGAAAAAGTATTGCTACAAATCAAACAGCAGAATTTACTGAATAACAATAAATTAAAAATAAATATAAAATGTATAAAAAATATAATAAATTATTTGTTATGGATTATTTTAATTCTAAATGCGATTTAGTTTTTTCGTATACCATATAAGTTATTGCTCCACTAGGTATAACCTAATTTATAATTATATATTAATCCAAATTTATATAATCATATAGCCAAATAAATATTTAAATAATACCTTCGTTAAAGCAGGTGTTAAACCTTTATAGAATCCTCTGAGTTTTTCTTTTTTATAAGTTTTTAATATAACATCAAATGAATTATTATAACGTTGAGGATGTCCAATTGTACCTTGAGCTTGTAAACTAAAAAAAATAAAAAATAATAATACAAGTATGAAATAAGTTACAATTATAATATTATTAATGTTATTTAAAATTTATATTGTTTACCGTGTCCTTATTAATGATAATGGAAATACCATTATTGCACCAATAGATCCTGATATCATACCACACCCTAATGAAACAAATGTATCCATTTTATTCTGATCTCCTTTTTTTAATTGATTATTGCTATTCTTTGACTTCGATTTTTCTTGCTTGTATTTAATATATTTCAATTTAAGGCCCTCATATATACTCAAATCTATTGCAGCATACGGGAAAACACCAATTAATGAAGGACATAAACCTTTGTAAAAGGATCGTATGCCTTGTGTATTCCACATTTCTTTTGCAGCTTTAAGCAAAATATTATTGTTTTTATTTGCTAATGGATCCCGAGAAATACCAGATGAACTCATAACCCTTGTTTTCCATGTTTCCAATGGATAAATTGCGAATTGTGATATGACACCACCGAAACCTCCGGCCAAGAATCTTCCTGACATACCAATTGACTCAATGTCGCGTGTTCCTGAAAATTTTGCCACAATACCTTTGATTTTCTCGTATGCAAAAAATTTTATTGCACTTTCAGGTGCTATCTTGATCACATTAAGTCCATTTCCACGAAAAAAATTCAACATTCCACCCGATGAGTACAAATCTTTTATTGCATAAATTATATTGTTTAACCTATGATAGTGATTTTTTTTATGTTGGATTGGGTCTATATTTTTTGAAGAAGGGAGAAAAGATGACGATAATGATTGTAATGAAGGTAATGGCGATAGATTCAGATTTGTTTGTGTTTGTAAGTAAATTTTTAGTCTATCGAATGGAGCTGTTGCTGTTCTGCTCACTGCGCCTGCTAATGCACCAGCAATAAGATACCTTGGATTTGTTTCAGGTATTATAACATCTCCATCAATGCTTACTTGCGCAACAACTTCATAATATTGGTAAATATCTGGTAATGACACTTCTGGAAGTAACTATTAATAACAGAAAAAATAATTAGCAACGGTATTTGTAATGATGTATATAATGGTAATTATAATGATGATAATTACAAAAGATTAACTAATAATTACCAATAAAAAATCTCTCCATTCGGAAAAATCTATTACGCCATTACTATCCTTATCCATTAAACTAATTAAATTTTTTAAATCCACCATTGAACAATGAATTCCTTCAAATAATAAAAAAACATCAATAACAAATAATTTATACATTTAAAATTTATTTATAATTCACTTTACAGTCAATTAAATCGATTACCTACCAGCTTTTGTTAACGCAACTTCTAATTCTTCAGGTTGTAAAAACATATCTCTTGATTTATCAATCTCCAAAAATAACTTCCATAATTCTTTTTCTTTTTCTTCAATGAAAAATTTAAATTCTTCAAAATCTATGATACCATCCGAACTAACATCACATTTTTCCAATAACTCGGATGCATATTTATCCCGGAAAGGATGATTTTTTAATTTATTATAATTTTTTAAAATATTTTCACGATCCAGGAATCCCGTATTGTCATAATCAAGTTCTTGAAATAATTTACGAATTCTAGATAATTTTTCCTCTTGACTTTCTTCCTCATAATTTATTATAATTTGATTATTTTTATTGTTGTTTGTGGACATCTTGTAAGTAAAATAAACATTTTCATGTTTATTATTTTTTTTTACCAATTTTTTGAAAGGGAAGAATTTTATATACAAAACAAAAAAATTGTATTACCAGAAAAAAAATGACGTAACATTGTGCAAATCTTAAAAAAAACTTATATTATCACACAACAGATTAACTCGATAAGCTCCATAATATAGATAAATGACCGAGTTTACCCGTGTATCATTGAAAGGTTTTTGGGACAAAACATTATAACAATAGCTATGATAATTAATATTGAATGTATAAATAATAATAACGAAATATTTATGTACAATGAATGAATGAAATATGAGAAATAGTATTTAATGAAAAACTTGAAAGTGAAGAAAGTTCTTGAGCTGAACTGGCAATTTTCGAGTTTATCAATCGTTGTATTAGTAATTTTGTACCTCTAATTTTGCAGCCATAGGATTTTACGATTCAGAAAAATTGTTTCAATGCATTGATTTCTACATTGAAGATAGTCTTGCACATTAATATAAATCTAACATTCAAAAATAATTGTAAGATACTTTTATCGAAATAAACGTGTGCACACTTTTTACAATTTGATAAACATGTTGTTTAGTTGGATTAGGAATTCCAGCACATTTCGCATGGCAAATAATTTCATAATAATAAGGGCCACATTTATACATTTAGAATTTGGATCTTTATATATAATAAATATATTTTAATATTTATAATTTATAATTTAAATTAATTTTTAAAAAATATTCTTTTCCTGGTGTTAGAGCTACAGCTGACGTTTGAACCAATAGTATTTGAGTTTCTGGGTAATGGGGCTTCCGGCGTTGCAATAGGTCCAGGTTTACTAATTGTAACATCGGCTTGTGCATTAATTAAAGCTACAAAATAACAATGATAATAATAAAATATTTGAAATATATTTCATTTTTGAAAGTATGTATAATAAAGCTTTTCGAAGTCGAATATTTATAAAATTTGAAAATTTAAAAAATGTGAAAACTAATTAATTTTGATTTTTTGTTATCGAAAATCCACACCGTTTATATGAGAACGAGAAAAGTTTGTGGTGAAAACATTTGTTTGTTTATGGCACGAATTTCTTTATAAATTATTTAAGTCCTTATTTTCTTTAAATATTATTTAACTACGCATAATGTGATTTTTGAATTGGTCATGTGAACAAGTTTGATCAAAATTTTTTTTGAAAATTAAGAAAATTTTCATCTAATAAAAATGTGTAGCGTTGAAGAAACTCCAATAGAAATTGAAAAGGGTATTTAAATAATTTTATTAATCAATATCAATTAATTTTATTAACAAATGGTTAATTAACATATGAATTACAATTAATAATTAATAATAGCTAAAACCAAATTCTCAAGTAAAATTTGCATAAAATGTAAAAATTCGTTAGCAACGATACTGATACAACATTCTGTTTATTGCAAGTAAAATATCAAGGGATTCTATTATTATTTTTTATTGAGAATCTTAATCTTTATTTACACATGCACAAAATCCTTTCTCTTTTCTTTAAAAAAATTAAAAAAGATCATGTTTTCAACATGTATTTGTAGGAAAATTTCGTAAAAATTTAGAGAAATTACGTACAAATCATTTTAAATCTTTAAAAACTGTCGAAAATAAAAATGATAATGGTAATGGTAATAATAATAACAACAATAATATTGCTTTGATTGGAGTATCTGGTGGTCCTTCATCTAGGTAAGAATCAAAAAGGAAAAAAATTAAGTATGATCATTTATTAACTTCATAGTTTTAATAGATATTTGTGCATGTATTAATATAGATCAATGGTTCATCTTCTAAACGATTACAACACAAACTTACCTCACGAGATTTCAAAAAGACAAATATTTTCTAAATTAATCATTTGTCATATTGATGAAAGCTCCATATATGATGATTCACAGGTATTTTATTTTTAATAAATTTTAAAGGTGATTATAATATATTAATGTATTAATGTGTTAATGTATTCCATATATATACATACATTGATCAGTCTACAATAAATCAAGTTGAGAATCTTTTTGAAAAATATAATTGTCAATTTATTGGAGTAAAATTAGAACATATATATTTACCAGATTACACTTTTAGTGGCTCATATAATAGAGATTTAGAAGTGATAAATAATAATTTTGATAGATCAAAGCAAGCAAAAGAAAATTCAAATAATAATATCAATGGTATTTCATTTATGGATTTATAAATATTATATATTTTACACATATACTTGTATTTATATATATTCCTAATAGAATTCTATGCAAAGATAATTCAACAAAATCAAGAAGAAAACTCAACAACAACAACAACAACAACAAAAGAGAAACTAAAAGCTTTACTTGATGGAATTCCTAATAACAAATTAACAACAAAACAAGATTTTATATGGCATTTAAAATTAAATTTATTAACAAATATTGCACGAAAGAATGGGTAATCATCATATATGTGTGTGTGTGTGTGTATAGATATAGTTATAATATAAGCAATACAACTTTATTATGTTAAATTTTAAAGCCATGATTTTCTTTTAGATGTAGGTTCTTGTTTTTGGGGGATTGTGCAACAAGGTTATCAATTAAAGTAATGTCTTTAACAAGTAAAGGACGTGGTTTTACATTACCTTTGGAAATATCTGCTCAAGAAGATTCATGGTTTAAAGGTTTTTAATTATAATTTTTTTTTGAATGAGATTTAAAATATAAATCACCAATTGATTTTAAAAAATATGATATTTATTATTGTGTATATAGGTTTAGTGGTTTCAAGACCTATGAAAGACATGCTATCAAAAGAGATTGGAATTTATAATCATTTTCTTGAATTGGATATAATCTTTACTCCAACTCTAACAACCATGAAAACATCATCTAAAGCAAGCATAGATAAATTAACTGAAGGTATCATTTTTATTATATTTATTACTCTTTAAATAAATAAAAATTTGGCAACAAAAAAGTTAATTATTATTGTTGTTGTAATTTGTTATTAGATTTTATTGTTGGGTTAGAAAAGGAATATCCGTCAACTGTAAGTACAATCGTTAGAACTGCAGCTAAACTTAACACATCAAATTCCATTGATCCAGAAAATCGTTGTGTGATTTGTTTTTTGTAAGTTTTTGTGAAAAATTGAATAAGGATTAAAAAAAATTTTTATTTTTGATAATTTTTTCATTTTATAATAATATCATTTTTTAGACCATATCAAAAAGACAATAAAGTTTGGCAAGATCGAATTACAGTAATGACCACAAATAATAATAATAATTGTTGTGGTGGTGGTGACGGTGGTAATAACAAGAATAATAATAGTACTAGCAGCACCAGTAATGGTTTCTGTTGCTCTAAAGATGTTGATAAATCTTCTTTTTCATCGTGTTGTTCAAATATCAACACAAACAACAGTTCAACAGATTTAAATGTTGTTGATATTAACGATTTGATTTGTTATTCATGTCGTGTTAATCTTCGAGATGTTAACAAATCCATTACTTTGCCGCCATACATCACTGAAGAAGCTGAAAAAAACTCGAGGCGAAACGATTTATATAAACAAATCGAGAATTTCATGTTAAGTGACGAAGAAGATGAATAAGATAATAATAATAATACCATCTAATATAGTGAGCAAGTAATTTATATTAAACAAAAAAAATATTAATTCATGCTATTTTTTTTTCAATTCAAATAGTGATGTAATTTTATATTTTTCTGTCTATTAAAATCATGAAAACTTGTATTTTATAAATTATTTCATTTTGCTCAAGCTTATTTTCTATTTGTTCCAATTTTAAAGTTGTATTTGTTGTTGTTGTCCTGGCTTTTTAGGCATTTCAACAAGTTTCGTAATTCATCAGAAATAATAATCTTTTAAATCTTCTTTGCTATCATCTGTTTCTTTAGTTTTTTTTACGAATATCATCAAGTGGCATTTAAAAAACAAAAAGAAATCTTTCTCAATGATAATCAAGAAAAATTTTTTCGTCAAGCAAACGATCTAATTGTTTATTAATTATAATATAGGAATTCATCCTCTCCAACGATGTTGTTTGGGAAATAAATAGAATAGCTCGATTTCAGTTATAATCTTGTCTTTTGAGCCAAAATTCTTCATTTCTTCTATTTCACTACCTAACGAGCCAATGAACAAGTTCATTAAGTATATGCCATAATATAATCACTAAGATTTCCAAGTAAATGCTTTATATGGGATACTGGAAAAGGACGGGGGACGGATTCAAGCTACACCTTCCCGCCCCGTCCCTTTCAAGTTTGGTTCATTAATACTAGAAAAGGACGGGTGATGATGGTACGGGTATTCTGCAAAATAATGTAAAAAAGTACAGGTAACTAACATGGAACAGGTGTGGCGTAGTGAAGGCACAGAAACCCCGTCCCACTATCCTTTTCTATTATTCTTGAAAAGGGCGGGTGAAAGATGTCTGTCATAAATATAATTTTTAGGAAACATTATAATTTCCCATCTCTATTTATTCCTTATCTAAAGTCTTGACTTTTATTTTTTATTATATAATTGAGGCTAAAACTCATGTAAAAATAAAATAATGAAGAATACAAATCATAATAGATAATAAATAAGCTAATTAAAGCATATAATATAATCGGATACATGAAAAGGACAGGGGATGGGCAGGTGTGGCTTGAACCCGTCCCCGTCCTTTTCATTGTGCATTATTATATATTTATTATACAATATTAATGCCCGTCTTTTTTAAGAAAACGGATAGTAATGGCACAGCAAACCTGTACCTTTTTTCACCATGAATAATAGAAAAGAATGGGGATGTATCACTGTCTCTTGTTAATTTCCCTCCTTTTTATATTATTTTGCAGAGCACTCATACCATTGCCCATCCTTTTCTAGTATTCATGGGCTAAACATGAAAAGGACGGGACGGGTTCAAGCCACACCTGCCCGTCCCCGTCCTTTTCATGTGTCCCTTTATTATCTATCACTTGTAAAGTAAAAAAATTAATATATTAAATCAATAAATATAATTATTATATCTATGCTATTAGATGCCAACATTGAGGATGGAAATTGTGAAACATATTGATGGTGGTTGTTGGGCAATAACTGATTCTTGATTGTAAATATCTATTAGCAAGATTCCATGGATTTTTAGAATCATTATTGATGGTATGCTTATTATTGTAAAATCTTCAATAGTATATAGAATGCATGTGAAAACTCATAATATATAATAATAATAGTAACTCCTAAAATTGGAAAAATTTCAGTCTAATAGTAAATCTGATGGTTGAAACCAACAGTCTGGACTGCACCAAATAATTGAAATGATTATTGGTTATCTATGTCTAATGTTAACAATCATTATTACTATGTTCCAAAATCCAGGAAATATTTTTCTGGACTATAAATGAATCGTCTTGTTTCAAAATTAAGATAAAACAGTTTGAGGATAATGAATTCCATATTTTATTGTGTCTTGACATATTTTAATGTGTAACTGGTCAATAGAATGGTGATTAGCCCTAAAAAATTTATTTGCTTTGCTAAAAAGCTATTTTATTATTCAACAGCCCATCAAACCAATGGATTTTTGCTAGTATAATAATAAAGTATTCATAACATTATGATCATACCATGCTGAATTTTGGGGTTCAAACAAAATCAGCACATATGCCATGGACCCAATGGATTGCTAATGGACCACACATTTGCCAACCCTAGCATATGCTGCGACTAAGGTTGCTTGCCAAAACTCATCCAGAAATAAATCAGCAGGTTACACATTAATTGTTTATTAGAGTTTTGGCAGAGTTTCGCATTTTGAGGTTTCGCCTTTCGGCATAGT